TTAACCATGATGCCTCCTTTGTATAAACTGGTTTAAATTTCCTGAAATAAATAAGACACATATAATTGGAAAAATAAAATTTTTCTGTGTTTCTCTATAAATTAAATACATTTTCTTTCGGGGGGTTATTCCGAAACTCATAACATAACAAAACCCACAGGCCTTTAGATCGCTTAGAAAAAAATGGAGGTGTTAAAAAATAAAGGTATGGAACTCTTTTCATAGGGTACCTAAATTCGCCAATAAAATTCTTTTAAATCAAGTGCTTTAAAATTTTACTTTTTATATCCGTTGCTATTTAAGGAATGAACTAAATAGCAACCCAAATTATACTGTATAACCTGGGTTGAGGCAGTTTAAACGCTTTATAAACCGCGAAGCGCTATAGCGGTTTATAAAAAAGCTTAAACTGCTCCAACCCAGGTTATAGCAGTATAATTTGGGTTGCTATTTAATTCATTCCTTATAATTTAATTTTCAATCATTAGGAATATAAAACAAGACAATTTCTCTCTTTAAACACCTTCAAATTGTTATATTTTAAACGTAACGTCAAGTAGATTGATACGATTTTGACGTAAGTCATTGTGACGTGAGCAAACCAGATTATACAATTAAGATTAATTTTTATCCAATCAAATGACGTGTTACAACCAAAATTAAATTATTTATATATAAACAATCTTCATTACTACCAAATTTCATTCCGTAATTCCCTATACTTCTCGAGATATTCTGAAATCGCTTCCAAAATTGACCTTACTAATTGTTAAGCGGGAACGACGGGACAAATTTTCCCCGGAGTTTATTCTAAACTCAATTAATATTTTCTCATTTGCATGCGAGCTTTACTTGTTTTTTTTCTCTTATTTTATCATATGATCTTACTAAGTCTCAAACAACATTTTAGTGATCTAATTGTTTTGAAAATCAAAAGGTATATAATGCATTTCGGGAAAAATTCGTTCGACCATAGCTTCTCAAAATGGCAGTGTAGTTGTTGATGCAGACGTTAAGTTAATGACATTTTCTCAAAATGAAGGGGGCTTTTAAAAAAAAACCGTCTACCATGAACAAAAATCAATCAAGTTCATTTTCGTAGATTTGATGTTTGATAATGAAGAGACAAATAAAGGATACCCAATAAACAGCATTTGATAAATAGTAAATCAAATTAACTTTATTTAAATCATCACATCTATTTAAAAACATTAAAAAATTATATATTTCTAAAATAAGCATGAATGTTTGGTTATAGTGAATATTGAGCATGGACGTTGGAAGAAGGAAGATTTCTGACACATCTTTCGCATACGCACGCTTGTTTCTTTTTTTCAAAATATTAATAAATTGTAAATACGATTGTAAAATCGCCTTGTTTAATCAACCCACCAATTGCCTTTATTGAAGCACCCTTGCAAATCGACAGAAAATCGAATGAATAATCATATAATGAGACAGTGCCTTTACAATGAAACGTATGCAGATAATAAACAGAAGTCGGGCTCAAAAGTCCATCAAACATTACAAAATAGAATAGGAGCAACAAATCCCCCACCTTAAAACAACACCAGGGGGTGGGATCAGGTACCATGGAGGGGTAAGCTTCTCCTGCAGATTGGTTATAAATACATAAAACTGAACATGATCAAAAGGATGCTTAGAACACTGTGGTCAATTCGATGACTTATCCTCCATGGCACTTTGTCTCATCTATAATCTTTTAAGGGTCCGTTTAAGGGACTCTGCTTGAGTACATTTTCGTCCGTCATCTCTATATTTCAATGTCAGTACTTTTATGATATGCTGGTTATACACCGTAACGATCGGGAATACTTTTAACTAAAACCATGGCAATTCATTCTAGGATAGTATTATTTAAATTTTAATATTAACTGTACTGTTTATATATGGGATTAATAAAAAGAAAAAAAAACTTAACAGGATTCATCGGCGTAAATCAAAGGTTTTTACAACGCATGGATCTGCATCTCTCTGCTTTATCTGTCTGAATTTTCTGAAGCAGAGAAATACAGTTCTACAGCTAAGGATTTGCAAAACCATGTTCCACAGATGGATTACCTTTTCTTAGCAGATAGCCATTTAAACGTAGGATTTTTGTATGTCTGTCATTCTGTCCGTCTGTCTGTTGTTCTGTATGTCTGCAACACTTTCATTTTCCAGCAATGTCTCTAGAAGCCTTTGAGAATTTGCAGTGAAATACACAACTCACTATTCTATGAACGACTCCTCTTGATTTTGAGGTTTAAAAGGTCAAGGTAAAAAAATTCCAAATTCTGTCAAGCTTTTGAAAGAAATTTTATACAACAACTACCTTTGGTGAAAGGAAGACCCCCTATTTATTTTTTTGTGACTGTGTTTAAAATTACATTTCCAGTCAATATCTAAAAAAAATCTTTTGAGTTTTTACAATTAAATTTTAACCATGACTACCCATGGCCCCGTCCGCCTTTCATGAGATGCACTCTAGATCTGCGCATGCGGGACTTGGAGACGCTGATTCTCTGAATAAGCTTTTTTTTCTTAAAATGAGACCATTTCGGTTGTGGCAATCAGATTTAGGAATTCATAGTTTTGTTACGTTATAATTAGAGATCTGATAAATGAATTTGTAAGTCTGGCGTTATTCAATTTGTCTCAATTCTACGTTTTCACATTTCAAGTTAAAATTCAGCTACCTACGTCAAATTAGGATAGTTAACAAACTAAAATAAACAAGAGGCCCAGGATCCACATCGCTCACCTGAGCTAGGAAAAAGCACAAATCAGATCCGATTTGAAAAGTTTACTGAGGGGGTGGGGGCTTGAATTCTAATACTACTTGAATCCATGTCAATACTGTATACCAGTATATCTTCTTGAGAACTTTTTTGAAAAAAAGATTTCTTAAGATTTTTAAAACATTTTTTGAATATATTATAGTATTAAATGTTCTTTTTGAAAACATCGACGCAAAGCACTTTTATGTTATGTTTGTGAGTAAAATATCAAGAGTTAACACATCGATAAATTTTTCAAAAAGAACCTTAAATTCTTATAATTCCAATTACGAATTTTCAAAAAATATATCTCTTTGGGATCTCCGTACAATCCGTTATATCTGCGCGGCGTAGGAATACTTTATACTGCAAAGAACGTAATCGAGATGAATTTAGATAGAGTTCAACTTAGATTGTCAAAACAATCAATAAATAAACGTAAAAACCTGTTGAATGTTGTTTATGTCAGCAATTATCGTAATTACGAATTTACTTCAGAATAGTTCGCCCTTGACCATGGCCATGTTGACATTAACGCCAACGCCGGAAGATGCAGACCGACGACATCTTCAATTTCCACTGTTTCAGTGGTTTGATGAAAGATTGAGGAAGAAAATAGAAAGTAATAATATGGATTTGGTGCTAGTAAGGCAAGAGTTTGAGGTACGTTTCATTTCCCTGTCACAACTGTACACACTGAGCTGATTTGCTTCGTATTATGAACGTCGAGAATTAGACATAATCAGCGATTTTTAAAACTCACACCCGTGATCGGTCAGTGACATAAACCATTTTCATAGCATCTGTCAGCTGGTCAGTCCAGTTTGCCGCCAAGTTTGTTTTATTTTATTAAATTTGAAGAATTTTGTATTCATAATTTAGCTAAAACAGACCAGAAATAACTGCTTTCATTGTTTATACGATAACATAGAAGCTTGGTCAAGAAAGTAGTTCTGATGAAAATTTTTAACGATGTGGTTCTCATTCAATCAAAACAAAAGAAAATCAATAGATAAAATGAAGATTGGAATTATTATTTAACTAGTAATAATTTAAATTGAATTTGACTCCTCATTGTTTCCCTCCCTACCCCCATTGTGACCCCACCCTATCCCTGGAGGTTATGATTTGCACAAATTAGAACCTTCACAACCTGAGGATGCTTCCATATAAATATCACTAATCATGGCTTAGCAGTACTTGAGAAATTTTTTAAAAAAGATTTCCCTATATATTCCTAAGTAAAACTTTGATCGGCCATTGTGGCCCCACCCTGCCCCGGGGGTCATGATATGAATAAAATTGAATGTACACTACCCGAGGATGATTCAACATGAGTTTCATCTATCCTGTCCTGATGGTTCTTGAGGAGAAGATTTTTAAGAGTGTTTCCTTTACATTCCTATGTTAAACTTTGATCGCCCTAACCCCTGGGGATCATGATTTGAACAAAATTGAATGTACATTACCTGAGGATGAATATAAGTTTCATCTTTCCTTGAAAGTCCTGAGAAAAATTCAACATTAGTTTGAACATTTTTCCTGTCTCTATGGATCTTGGGAAGAAGATTTTGAAAGATTTTTCCAATATATTCCTATGTAAAACCTTGATCGGCCATTGTGGCCCCACCCTTGCCCCGGGGGTCATGATTTGAACAAATTAAAATCTACAGTACCTGAGGATGATTCCACATGAGTTTCATCTTTCCTGGCCCAGTGGTTCTTGAGAAGAAGATTTTTTAAAACTATCATTAATTTTTCACTAATTCATAATTATCTCACATTGGAAGAGGGCATGACCCTTCATTTGAAAAAGAAAAAACAAAAACAAACTTGAATCGCCTTTACCCAAGGATACTTTGTAGCAAGTTTGGTGAAACTGGTCCAGCGGTTCTTGAGAAGAAGATGAAAATGTGAAAAATTTACATCAACGCCAAGGACGCCAACGACGACGACAACAACGACGACAACGACGACGACAGACAACGAACAAATTTTGATCAGAAAAGCTCACTTAGACCTTCGGCTCAGGTGAGCTTAAAAGTACCAATGTATTATACTATAGATTAAACTTAACAAAACTTAGATGTGACATGCACATGGGACTTGTTTGGATGAAATTTTTCTATTTCAAAAGTACATGTACTAGAAAAATGTAGTGGGTATTTTAGCTGTCCTTTATCGATATTCTCAATTAAGGGTTCAGTATGGTTATCCGTGTTACGCTTTAGCAGGGACAAAGGTGTCTCTATTATCTAAACACAGTAGCACTGAGTAATCAAACCTGCAACATAACATACTCCAACAGGGGTGATATTGAAGCTCATGAGGCACCGTTTGGTTGCCATGGAATTGTAAAAACTGCCATAATGTTTATCCCCCCTTCCCTAAAATCGTAAAAATCCGATAATGAGATTGGTTTTAATCATAACTTCATGGAATTATGATTTGTAAATTTGAACTTAAATTAATAGGATACTTTCTGTTCTTTTGGTTAAGAGACAAAAATACAATAGAATCTGCATGCAACAACACTTTTCCTCCTATGCAGAAAACTGTTAAGACGATAATTTTTAAAGTAGCCAACTCTGCTGATAATAAAATAATAATTTCAGTTCCTTTATGTTTTAAAACATTATCACAGAGAAGAAAAACCCTTTGCTGACTCTAAGCTTTTTTTAAAAAGCTAAACTTGTAATACATATTACGCCGCGTGTATGCCGACATGAAAAATTTCAGTCCGAGCCAATCTCGCATTTTTCTGAAAAGGAATAAACCATCCATGCATCTAATAATCAAATAAGATTTTTGTCTATAATAATTTATACATTTTTTTAGAAAAAGTTGAAAGCATATTTTGAAAAGAAAATCTGTCTGCTACAAATTCCATGTACATTTCATTTAGGATCCAAGGCAAAGAAGGGAAATTTAAGATATCCCGATCCCGATCTAATTTATATTCTCGCTAACCACACTGAAATAGCAGAAACAGCGTTTTTCTCATAAAATAAGCGCATCTATTTCTTAAATTAGTAAATGTTATTATCTTTAAAACGGTTATCTTGACGTCAAAATTACCCAATTACATCTATAAAACAAAGAGTGTGTTAAGAATTTCAGACTTAGAAAAGTTTGCATTGAAACTGAAATTTTCTGAATAGAAATTTCATTTACACGTTCCTACCGGCCCAATTTTTGTTCATCTTAATAAGGCAGGGGAGGGTAAACAGATATTATTTCAAGTTTGCCTTATTCATGTTATTCGAAAATTTTAATATTTTCTAAAAACTTACTTGCTATTTTTGATTTTTAAGTAATAATTCCAAAAGAAAACACTCAGTGCAATCAGAAAAACCACCCCGATTGTCACAGGCACTGCAATGATCACAGCTTCACTGACTCCTAAAATAAGAGTTTTTACGTAAAAAGTCTAGTGTAAAAGTTGATAAATATTATTTTTAAGCATTTTCCCCATACACTTTACCTGCGGTGTTGCTTTCAGGAATTTTCGAAAGGGGGTCCTGAGTTGTATTTGTCACTTCTGAAATAAGCATTTATTTCTTATTGAAGTCAGTACAGTGAACAGAATAATAACATTCTAAAATTGATATTATAGTGTATAATTTAAACAATGTACTATATACATATAATCAGGTTGGGGGGAAACGTAAGGAAGAAGGTATGGTTTTAGCTTTATTGTGCCCTAAACATGTAATGACATCAAAAAGTTTTAAAACTGGCTTAAATATTAGTTAAATAAATCACTATGATAAATCAGGAAATATTATGGCATGAAGGTCTACCATTCTGTAAATATGACGTCATTAATGTGAAGCATTTCTCTATTTTCAACAAAAAAGCCTCAAAATGGCACATTTCAAGGGTGATTTTCCTTTTAATTAGAAAACAGTGTCCACAGCCGTCACCCATGTTAATTGTTTGATATTTTGTGCAAAATTCAATAACAAATCACATATCTCAAGATCTTTGTGGGCGATGCCTGTGGACAATGTTATCTGAAAGAAAATTCCGTAAAAAAATTGTGTCTTCTGCAACTTTTTAAGAGAATACGGGAAAATGCACATGTTTATGACGTCATAATTAGCATTTAAAACACATTTGAGAAAGTTGATTTATAATATATAACTTTGTGAAACGGAAGTAACACTTTTAACATAGCAACCAGTAATCGTGGTAGTATTCAAGAAAGACTGAATTCCTTTTTTTCACCCATGTGCAGTAATCTGCTTTGAAAAGGTTTGTCGAATTTACAGTAGAAAAGACAATCTTTGGATGCATGGTTACGGGTATGGAGGTCCGTTGTAAGAAATGTTAAAAAGCTCATCACATGTAAACTTTCTTTCAAGATAAGATAGATAAGAAAATATTTTATATTTAAAGTCGGGTAGATTGGTAGATCCAATTTGTTTCGTCTGAATGCAATAAATCGTAAACAATTATTAAGATGACACTTCTTCAGGATTAATATTTTTCAATATGCAGGGGAATCTATCCTTCCGCTCCAACACATTTTTACCAAACATTACCTTTCACAATTGAAAATGTTCATTGAATGGTTGTTTGCCCCCTCCCAAAACTTTTGTTGCAGCATATGATTTAATAGAGCTGATTTCAATAGACCTGGATTGGGTTGCTCAAAACACTGGTTAAGGTTAACCACTGGTTAAATCTCTTATCCAGTGGTTAACTTTTAACCGTTGGTTAAATTCTGTTGCTCAAAATTTGTCCACTGGTTAACTTTGCTATCCAGTGGTTAAATATTGGCTAAAATTAGCCATTCCACAGAGGTGGGTTAAGTCTCTTAACCAGTGGAAAAATTTGACAAAAAAATTATTATTTGTTGTAAATTTTGGGGGATAACAAAAGAAACAAAGGCTTATAGATATTTCAAACAAGAATTTAATGTTGATGAATACTTAAAAAGACATATGCAGTAAATTAAACTCAAGTTTTTAAGTATTCATCGTCAGCAGAAATGTTGTAAATGGGTTCTTTCAAGGATTAATCTTTTGGCATTACAAAGGATCTTATCAAGCAGCCTTTCCTCGCTGAAAAATAAATAATTATTATAGGTATATTGTAAATAAAAATTATAATTGAATAAAATTGTTGGTCATTTGCATATAGGTCTAATAATGAATATAGATAAATTGTTCTTTGATAACCATACATCAATATCTAAAATTAATTGAGAATTGACACCCCCCCCGACACACACATGCACTCCTCTACCACCCCACCACCCCCTTTTTAAGATCTTGAATTATGTATTTGTTTTTCAAAATAATATTAGTAATCCTTTCCTTACCGATATCTTTATCTGCCTATTTTATTAAACTACCTTTCTTGTTGACTGCTGCATTAAATCAAATGCGTACCATTTCCTTTGATTTTATTATCATTTTTGCAAGGTCTCGTTGAGATAAAGTGAATAAAATTATTTATTCAAAATTAAATCTACCATTAAATTCTAAATTTCTATCCATAGACTTCAGGATTTTTTTTTTTGCAAAGAAAAAGTTCATGTAGGCATTGAAAATTGGGGTTACCTTTTTTGAATTTGTTGGTTTAGCACCCCCCCCCCTCCACCCCCACCCACATTCAATTAGCCACTCCACTTTCACAATGCTTCCAATGCATATGCTATCAATATCTACATAAAGATTTTTATCTAATTTCTATATATATTGATGCTTATATTAAAAGGTGTTGTATTAAATACACTTCAAGTCTTGGGATAATGCATTTTAGTTACACCGCAAAATTTAATTGTACGGAGCGAAATGCATTAGTGACGAACTCGCTATATCCACTTGCATATTCGACCATGACCTTTCTGTAATAATTAAAAAAAATGCTACCCATGCAATTTCAGACAGTGTTAGTGCATTGTAATGCAGGATTACGTAAATACTTTGAAAGTTATTTCTTGTTTGGAAATATGTGACAAACCACTGGACTGAGATCTTTCTGTCAAGGTATGTATAAAAGCGATAATACAACAAGTGCGAATTTCCTCGAATATTAGCAGACGACGTTTACAATACATGGTGTAAACAGTAAAGGTGTCCTGACTCCAGTCACTTATTATTTAGGTATGAAACGATACAAATTGATGTATTTGCTCGTAATTATAGCTGTCTTGAGTAGGTGTTGTCTTTAAATATTTTCTGTAAAATTAAGATCTAACAGCTTTTAAAACGAGCATCTAGGTTTCTGCAATCATTCTATCCATCTTACCTGTGGTGCTAATGATCAATCCTTTCCCATTCTATGTGTTTACAGTTACTGCATCCTCCACTTGAATTTTCAGCAAAGAATAATCCCAGCTGACTCGTGTTTTTCGTCAGTCACTCACATTTTGCGACTAAAGCGTTTGTTTAGTTTTGATACTGTTACATTTCGATATTTCTCCACTTCTCCACATACGGTTGTAACGTTAAAACGTCTCACTATTTACTTATTTGATGTTTACCATGGTAGCCATGTTTTTTGGTTGACAACTGGACAAATGTAAAGCATTGTGGGATACTAACCAGTGGTTAAATCACTTAACCTGTGGTTAGTTAACCAGAGGCTAATTTTATTTTGAGCAACAAATATTTGACCAGTGGTTAGTTGGCCAGTGGATATTGAATTTAGCCAACGGCTAACTTATCCAGTGGTCAAATTTAACCAGTGTTTTGAGCAACTCAGTCCTGATGGATTACGCTTTTTGTGACGTGCTAACGCTCTATTTGCCGTGAGATTTAATTACTACATCACAATGTCACCAATTCAAAGGAAGTGGCCGAGATCGCTTCTCTCCCATGCTAATGTCGGTTTGCTGCAACAAACAGCTTGTTTGTTGGGTAAGAGAAAGTGGAATAGACAGTCCTGATCTCGTTTTCTTGAATATTACACTGTACCAGCATAGTTAAAGGTCATAAAAGCTTTGAATTAATCAACGAAAGCATTTTTGGAATTTTTCAGTCTATTACGAATATTTAAATTGGTCGATTATTTCATTCTATCGCAAAATTTATCTTTTTTTCATATTTGCTTACATGTATAAAAATCAAGTAGTGCATAATAAGTCATTGATCATTGCATTTATTGGTTACGCGTATCAATCCAAGCCATGCATTTTGAGATTTTTGCAATTGAGTATAAAATACTGCTGAAAAATAGAGCCCCTCTCTATGTACATACTCGAGATAAATGGTAAAGATGGAAAACCGGGGGAAATTTTATTTATAAAAAAATACATATAATATAAATAATTCTCTTTTTAACTGTTTAATAAGATTTGTGTTTTCTGTCCCCTTTTGTAAACCCGTTAAACGTCGGCGATGTGTATTGCAGCTGACCGACTTTAGCGTGGGAGAGAATCGATCGTGGCCACTTCCTTTGATGTGGTGACACTGTGACGTAGTATTTAAACCTCTCGACAAGCAAATTCTTAGCATGCCACAAGCAGCGTAATCCGTTAGTTATATTGAAATTAGCTCTAATGGTAAGTTGGTAATGTATGATAAAGTATTAATTTTGGTTGTGAAACGATGTTGGAACATCGTCACTACACCCTCCTCTGGAAATAGGATTTTCAATATTTATAATTCCTTCCAATTTCCAACGTTTTTCTTAGTCATTTTTACTGTTTTCTGGCATCTACAATTAATGGTTTAATTATGTTAGGTTTTTATCCAAAAAAAATTACACGAAACATGTCTGTTATTTTTGTAAAAATGTGTTAGGATTAAGTGCTAAAAAACAATAAGGATTATGACACAACTGCTTCATATTTTGATAATATATTGGAGAAAGAGATCGATGGCAAATCGATTATTAATTTTAAAACTTAATGGTTAACCTGATGAATTCAACTTTTCTATCGCCAACTTTCCTTATTCGTGTTGGAATTATCCATTATTACCTGCATATGGATTTATAAACGCCTCACGGTTGGTTCAGTGCGCGTGAGCAATTTCTCCGTACGACAATTTTTAAAACGAAGCAGGCGTCTGACAAGCATGTTGATGAATAAAGGGTATTTCTACAATCTCGTATGAAGTCAATACTAAGGGGTTTGTGCTTGGTGTGCTCATAATTTATATAATTTGAATGTCATTTTGAGCTTAATTACTATTTTTTCCTTCGTATTTCACAGAAACTACTGAAGCAGCTGTTTTTCCTTTTATTGCATTGATTGTTGCAGAAATAATCCTTCACCCTTACAGTTGTAATTAACTCAAGACTTCTTAACTTTTTTTTGTTTTTTCATTACATAACTTATTTAAATACTTAGTATAGCATATGCCATGCACCTTAGAAAAGAATAAAACGTTTAGAATTTATCACGTAAGATGTCACTTCCAAAGGTAATCGTAAAAAAGGATAATTCGAATGTCTTTCAAGGATAAAAAATAATCGTTTGAACTGGTCGTTAAACCATAAAAAAGAAAAATTATACTTGTGATAAAATGAAGAAGTGTCATCTTATGGATCGTTTACAATTTGCATTTAGACAGGACATATCTGTTCTACCAAAATAAAGTTTACATGTGATGAGCTTTTTAGCATTTCTTACAACGGGCCTCCATACCCGTAACCATGCATCCAAAGATCGTCTTTTCTACTGTAAATTCGACAAACCTCTTTCAATGCAGATTGAAAATGATTACAAGCATTACTTTCTGCACATGTTTGAAAAAAATGGAATTTTAGTCTTTCTTGAATGCTACCAAAATTGCTGGGTGCTATGTTTAAAATGTAACTTTCGTTTTACAAAGTGTGTTCGGATTATTAACGTATCGGCAGAAAATTAAATAAAATTTATGATATGTAAGGGTGCCATTTAGCGTCCAATTTTAAACACATAATGACTTGCACACTTACTGTAAATATACAACTTATATACGATGATCTCTTAGTTCTTTTCATTTTGATTACGTTCAATAACATACGATCAATTAATCAAACTTCAATGATTCATTTTCTCTGTAGTATGCATGTCATGTAAGACTGGGTTCCACAGTAAAAATAAGAAAAACTCACCAGAACAATTTGCAGCATTTTGAGATCCTTCAAATTTTGTAGTAAAACCAGAAGGACAATTTGTGCACTCAGCTCCTCCTATTTCACTTTGATAAGTTCCTCGTGGACATAGAAGACACTTTCCGCTGGTTGAATATGTGCCTATTGGACAATCAACTGTAAGATATTTGTGACATTCAAAATCATTCTAAATTGATGTTAATGTGACATTAATTTTTTTGTTATAGTGTCATGATGTTTTTTTTTTTGGCTTAAAGATATGTTAAGGGCTTTTTATGTTTACAGTCGAAAACTGTAACTATACATGTGCCAGTTTCACAAATGAGGTATTTAGATATTCCAAAAATATTTTTTTAATTGAATATCATTAGCAATGAATGTCGTCTTTGAAATCATAGGGTCACATGATCTAGTCAACCTGGATTTTCAAATTATGGGTTTTGAAGATTATTCATATGTAACCTTTAGACGAATTGCACATATTATCTCGCAATTTCTTCATGCCTGATCTTTAAAACAATACAAAATATGAGTCTAATGGGTAATGAAGAATTTCACGGACTAGTGCCGTAAGATAAGGGTCGATGAGGTACATCTGTGTATATCAGTGAATAATCATCAAAGTAGCTAAGTTATCTACTTTTGAAATAAACAATTAATCAAAAGTTCAATTTTAAAATATATTGTATATGTTTTGTTTACATTGATATGACAGACAGCGCCACCACAGGAACTTTTTCTTGTTTACATGCTTACCAGAAAAAAACTCATTTTTGCCACTTCAAATTGAAGCTAGCAGGGGCTCACTTGATTTTAAATCATGTTAAGAAAAACACAAAAGTTAAACCAGTGTTTTCATTTAAGATACCACTAAACTGCTGCTAGTTGGATGAAAGACATAACATATAGATTTTCATTTAAAGATATAAAAGATACGATACATTTATTAAGAAGAAAGCCTGTAAAACACAAAAAACAATACAATAGCTCAATTGCTGTACTAGCTAAGTATCTTACTGCAAATCGGCCCATCACTGCCTTGTCCAAGTCCGCACACAACAATTCCTGTAGCTTGTTGTATTGAAGGCGAATATTTAACCCCGCCCATGTCGAAGGTAAGGATATCATTGGATTCGTTTATTTTCCTTGTAGAATTTTCTAGTTCTACCACTATATTTACTAAGCTTTGTAAAGCTTTGCTCACTGTTGAAATAAAAAAAAAATAATACTACGATTACAGAAATATAACCAATACTGCACAAAATCAATCAGAAACTGAAATGAAATTGAAAATGATTGTATAACTTGTGAACAGTTGTATGATTTATGTAATTCATAATATGAAATGATACATACATCACTGTAGTTAGGGAATTCATCCATTACAATTCTAGGACACTTATGCTTAATTTGTCTTATTTTAAAAGATTGTGAAGTAAACAACCACTTAAGTACTGACCAAGTGATGAGGGAGATAGAACTGCCTTTAGTTTACTTAAGCTTGTTTAAGAAGTGGAAATTTACAAATGTCTCGTTGAGTATAGTTTCTGGAAAAACACATATAGTTGGTTTCTACAATTAATTATACATAAAAGTTCTTTAATTTTAATAGTTTTATAGTAAATTATAAACAAGAGAGCGATGAGTGGGTACATTCTTATATGATGATCCTCATCATTTTTCCCTACATTTTTGAATGTAGAATTTTTATCACATATTATGGCCCGAATGAACTCAGGGTCAACCGGATTTGATCAATATTCAATAATAACTGAGGATACTTTCATATCAACATGATTTATCATGGTTTTGTTGCTCATGAAAAAAGGACTTCGAAAAGGTTTTCTTGTTTATTTCTATAGACAACACACGTCACCAAAATTAATACATACAGACAGATAGATAGTCAGTCACAAAAAGAGACAAAACCGAAAACATTTGAACCAGATCAACTAAATTGAGCGTTCGGCTCAAGGAAAACTATGCTTAAAATTGAATTAACTTGTAAACCAGAGATTCGCTTTAACATCCTTTAAAGATAAATGAATTTTATCAACAAATACTGAAGAGTTCCGTAATGACTGGTTGTTCTTTTATGTTTCTGAGGACGAGTTTTGAAAGATTTCTTTGATAGTAAGAAGCTTTGTTCGACAAATGACTTTTTTTTAATTGAGTCATTAATCGAACAAAGCGTCATTATCTACCTAGATATAGGGCTATTTTAATTGACAAACTGTTTCAAAAGGATTCATTATTACCGGTATAAGACACACAATGAACAACTGACATAACAATATCAAATACAACACTTAATGATTTCAAGACCAAAATGACCTTCGTAAACTGCAGAATCAAGAATGTTTACAAGAGATGGCAAAATTTCAAAAGAAATTTTAGGAGCATCTATTTCTGCTCCTATAAGCTGTCAAAATTGAATCAAGACTCAATTCAGTAAGAAAATTAAATGGTAAGGTTTGAAATATGGAATGTCTAATTCTTTTCTTTACATGTGAGCTTCATAACATGCACTAAAGAGAGAAGTTCGATGAATTCAATGTTTGTGTACGTTCTTGTCACACAATTATTATTGACAAGAGGTCCATTGTGCACAACGCTCACCTGAATAACGTTAACCATACTGTTCTTCACCAGATTCTGCCCTTGTAACCCATTTTTATTGTTATTGTGTTATTGTGGCCTAACCCTATGCCCCGGCGACATGATTTGGAAATTTTTGAACAAAAGATTTTATATATATATTTCAATGTGGTTCTTTTTTAACGCTCTCAGCCTATTTAGTTTCTATGACTATGTCCTCTTGAAAGGGGAATGGTCATTCATTTTAATAATTTTAACACCCCTCACAAAGAATGCTTAGTACTAATTAAAATGCATTGGGCAAGTGGTTTTTAAGAAGAAGTTAAAAAAGTTTTGCAGACGACAGGAAATCATTTTTAGTTTCATTCTGAAAACTATTCAGAAAAGAGGTGGGTTCATTAACTCCATAGAATTTCCCTGTCATTATAAAACTTAACTGACTAAGTCCTTACATCCCATTTCGAACATCAACATAATGTGGAGACTTAGTGCTTTCATTTCCTAAAAAAATTCTTCTGATAGTCTAAGTTTTGATCCTCAGGCTATGTGAAACTTCAATGCTCTTGAATTTTGAAGAAAATGGATGCATTTGAGCATTTTTAAGTAATTATTAAAATATGAGCCCACTCCGCGATCAAAAAGAAATTTAATTTATTTTCAACTAAAAAGTGAGCAGTTTTAATTTTTCAGAAATTCACAGGGCCAAACGTGGTGGAAGGTGAACCTTGTCTGAATTAGTTTTCTTTCTTTTATTCTTTCATAAATTAAACAGATCAATAATCACAAATTGTTCATTTTTTGACTTACAGTTTCCTGTTGAATAAAAATGTCCCAAATTCAAATCTTCGTCGGGAAGTGTTGCCGTCAAGGTTATTTGCAAAGAGTTTGTTTCCATTTTACCTTCACATTCTAAAAAATAACATAATGATTACGTTTAGTTATAGAAAGTAAATAATTTGTTACAAAATAAGACTCATTATCAGTTTTGCTTTTAATATGTTCCAAAAATTTGTAAACAAATGTGTGTTGAAGATTGAGATGTCTGATTACAATTAAGTTTCTAAAGGAGTATTGTATTCCTGACTAATAAATATGGTAAAATTGTTGTTAGTGAACAGTGTGTGCAGGTTTGGTATATCATTTAATATTTGTTTTTTTTTAGTTTTTTTATGATTTTAATTTGAGTATTTTACTTAGAAGAGTTACTTAGTTAAGTTTATTGATAATCTAAAATATGATATAAAATAGCTGTGTATTGTAGTTTATGAACATAAATTGACGGAAAAGCTAAGGGTTGTTACTTAGTTTATTTTTATACCCCCCGCTTGAAAAGTGGGAGGGTATATTGTGATCGCGATTTCCGTCCCTCTGTACGTCCGTACGTCCGTCTGTTACGCTTTATCTTTCATCCGCAACTCCTCTTATACTACTGAGTGAAATTTAATGAAACTTTTACAGAATCTATATTACATATTGCCATTGTGCACCTCCTATTTTACTTGTTTATTCGACACATATTTTAGGTTTTCCATAGCAAAACATGGACATTGCCATTATATATTTACCTATGACGTCACATTGGAAGCTTCTGGATAACACATTACCGTAAACCAATATATAGCAACACATGGACATTATGGGAGGCGGGGGGTATCTCTTAGTGATCTCATTGCTCATAGTACCTCTAGTTATGATTCTAATCGTGTATTGTTTTTCAGGAAAGTATATTATGATTTTCATTGAATTATGCTTGATGTTTTGATTGATCATAAGCATCACAACTCATGTAAATAATGCATTACAGATCTTCTTGTTTGTAGGAGAAGGCATCAACAACGATCAAGTGTCAAATACCAGAAGTGATAGTTTTAAATGAACTGGTTATTTGAATTTCAGATGTGATAGTCCATATTTGAAATGTCAGGATCAAGGCATTTCAAGTTCAGAGTTGGAAAATGACAAAGAGTGAATAAATTATTATAATAATAAATACATATACTATATTTGTATTTATGATGTATTGACCCAATTATACAATGATATGCTTATTATCCTACATACATCATCATCATTTTCACCTATACAGCACGGGAAATTACAGTTCTATAGAATTTACTTTGTGTTCATTCATAAAGTCTCATTCATATTCATAAAGTTGAATGTCTTTTGGTTGATTTGGGAATATTTAAAATCAAAAGTTTTTGGGTCAGAATGGGTGAGGGTAAGAGGTAAATGATTTGTTGATATTTCAGAGTGAGGAGCATGTGAGTAGTTTCACCAGTTTGGTACCTAATGCGCATGCTTGGCGCCAAATACCCATACTATCTCACTTCATCCTTGGACAACCAGGAGTAAGGAGGAACTTTTCTTCTTCTCCGTTAAGTCGAACATTTTATAATGTGGACAATATAATTGTCTTTTTTGCTCATCTTATTTTAATCCTTCCAAATAAATGAATCATATAACAATCGAACTTAGCAGCCGTTTTGATGTTAATACAATGGTAAAAAAAATATTACGGCTGTAATCAAAATACACGAAAGTGCCGAGAAATTATCAAACAAATGTGTAACACAATGATTAGGAAATAACGAAATAATTCAATTGTTAATTAGTACGGAATACAATTGCAAACCATTGATTGTTGTTGATAGTTCACATATCCCTTCATTGTAGCACGACAATGATGATTCTAAATTACTCTGAAGAGTATTTAAGACAGTCGATGAATCGGCGCATGAAATTGAAGAGTTGTACTCGATTTCAGTTGTTGATGATAATCTGTCGGGCATTTTTGCCTCTGAGAAAAAAAAGCAAAGATGATTCATGATGGGCACTTAAGCATTTCAAAGAGTTTTGCGTTCATAAGAATGATTTTGTAAAAATACTTACTTCCGCAAGCAGGTGTAAGACCATTCCAAGTATAACCAGTGCTTTGTCCACATCTATACTCCTTTAGAGGAAGATTTCCTGGTACAAACGTGTATCCCACTATACAAGATACTTCACAAACTGTGTCCCCATTAATATTCGAGCAGTTTACCACATTACCAAAAGAAAGTTTAAGTTCTGCACAAGCTATATAATAAAAGTCAATTGTTACTTGTTTCTTGTACAAGTGAATGATGAATGATACATGTAATTTATACAAAAAGTAAATAATATTGTGGTAATTTTTTTTAATGTCAAAGTATTTTATTTGAAAAATGATATACAAGGTTAAGTATTGATATGGGTTGCTTGCCTTAATTGTTTAAATCGAGGAAAATACACAGTGACTTACATGGACATTCCTTAGTGTTACATAGCAAACTTTCAGTCGACAGAGAAGAGTTACAGTCAAGTCCTTCAGGATCAGGGATTGGATTATTACAAGCACGAGATCTCGTCTTAATGCCTCCATTACATGTCACTGAGCACTCAGAAAAATCACTCCATGCACTCCAACCGCCGTTCACTACATAGAAACAGTATATATGTATAAAAGAGCAACATAAAACAACATATTTAAAGAATATCCAACAATAGGCCAAGGGTTTCACAACACTCACTTGAATAAATATGATAATCGTGTTCGTAATAAGCATTCCCCCTATGTATATAACTATGTAGGATGTTGAATGCATATTACGATTTCACCTCTTCAAGAAAGTGATCTAAGCAAGTCTGACTTTACATTCTACATGTACGCATTCATCAATTTGAATGACTTATCTCAGATCACTGTCCTACATAAAAATTGTAAATCAATTAATTACCCAATGAATTGTCCATAGATTTCCCTCTGCCTGATCATTTACACAGTACTGTAAAGGCTTTCCATAGCTTTAAATGTGATTAAACGTAACACTGCATTGCAAAGTCTATTTTAAGTTTTAATTTAAGTTATGAACCTCAATTCATACAGAAAGTTCCCTAGGCTTTGCATAAAAATATTTGTTACGATATCACATGACCTTTTTGATCATGTGGCGGTCATTTTTACTTTTTAAATGCTTCAGACAAAAGCACTTTATTACACTTTTTTGTAACTTTTGTCATGTAAATAAACTCGTTGCAATCTTGAGATCCCAAATGTGCATGGGAAAAGTAATACTATTGTTCTGGTTCAAAATATTTCCCATAAATCAATTTACTGACAAATGTGAGGGTATTTTCAGCTCAATATCGTCATCTGTTTGAAAACAAAGTCATCATACATTTTTCCCATGCAAGATTCAGTTAATTTGAGGAGAGACTCCTGTTACAGATTTTCCCAAACATCTCAAATTAATATACAATTAATTACCCCTTTTGAGTTCAGTATGGTAAAATGAGGACCCGAAACATGGCACACGAGGTGACCTGACCTGACCAGGCCTCGTAGCGGCCGAGGTCAAGGCAGGTCATCTACTGGGCCAGGTCGAGGGTCCTTATTTCACCATGTTGAACTCACAGGGGGTAATCAATTGTTTCATTCTACCGATATAATTCAAAACTATGAATCTCGAACTGTTATCAATTCTTTCTTTGATTGGGACTGGGATTCGCTACACTCCGTATAGTGAAGTTGTTTACATTTACGTCTGCAAGTCGTGTAAGTTTTTGCATCATGATTTATTGATTAAAACAATATTTGTTTGATATATATAGCGTCATACATTGTTATAACTAGCGATTACTTTTCCTTTACACGGTCAAAATCGAACACAGAATTCAACTCTTTAGAGAGCCGCTTCTAGTAAACCGTTTAAGTTAACGATGAAATATTACCGTATTCTGTATCGTAATGCAAAACAGACCATGCAAAATTTTAAAAACATGTTGCTTTTCTGGAATAATTATTAATATCTTATGCATTAACTTCAATTTTGATTAAGAGGTCATTTTAACGGTCATTAATTATAATGACCGCTCATTATTTACCACGTGCAATGATTCCTAGGTCGTTATTGCTGTAAGCAGGACCATTCGTAGTCATTGTTGTGTTTTAAAGTTTTCTTAACAGCCAATCAAATTCGTGTATTATCAATAAAGGTATAATAATCCTCATTATTGACCTCCGCCAGGCCCTTTTATATACATGAATTCTGCCTTTATCCTAGAGTGTAAAAAATGGTAAGCGTTAAATACTTATTTTTTATGTGTGTTTTGAACTCGCTGACTTTTACAAAGGAGTAATAAAACAAAGTTATCCTAATTATTCTGATATATTATATTTTGTAAGAAAAATGATTAAAACATGTTTTTTTTTAAATTACATTTCTGCATATTTATATGCAGTTTAAAATAAGATACAAGGTTTAAGACACTCTCCCCCTCCTTACAGCTCAAGTTTGCAGTGACGACGTCATTTCAATTATGACGCCATACATTCGTAGTTCAGAGAAGTACATGCACAAAGTACACTGCAAAATTGTAAGGGAAGCCTTATCGTACCTGCGTAAAGAAGCACAAAACTGTTGTGACCGGTCGACAGAGATACCTATTCCTCCGAGGTATGTGATGTCAACTGATTTTTTAACATCATTATATGCTCTTTTCTTGCCTAAATGGATATATGAGATAGATTACTGTTCAGTATCCTCACATTTTATTTTTAAGAAGTATTTTTATGCATTCCTTTATAAAAATTCCCAAATCTTCAGAGGTGGAGTCAGGTACCATGGAGGAGTGGGCATACCCTGCTGACCGGTCATACCCGCCGTATGCTCCTTGTCATTATAACGTAACGTAAACATCCGCCGTCAAATACTTCAGAAAACACTTGACGACGGCGTTATCACTAACATCGATAAATTAAAGCAAAAATTTGCTAACAGAAGAGAGAAAATAAAAAAAAAATAGTTGGCAATGTGTCATTAGATTTCTCAAAATTAAAGGATTGCCTTTCTAATTTTTTCTTTACCATTCTCTAAAGTATTTTACATTATTTCAAATAACGGGAAGCTCAATAACCCCTTTAATACTCTAATAAGATTTGGCATCTTCAGGAATACACTAACTATGAGCGTTATAGCTAACCTTGATTAAAAGAAAATCATATAGTTTTTTTGTAATAATCCGTTGAAGTATAAAACTCCATATTTTACATTCCCCTTCAATCTAGGTTCTGTAAGAGTAAAAAGAACAAGCACTAGTTTCGTTTAATTTTATTTTTTTTTGTTTTCCCACAGATCCTTTTAACGGAAAATATCTTTATAAAACAACTAAATGTATTAAGGAAAAAGCAACAATTGATTTAAAGAACTGTCCTCAAAGCTTTCTTTTGGGTATAAAAGTTTTTTTAAAAAAAAATTGACGACATACTTTTACAATATAATCAAGCATTCAAACAACTGGTTTGAAAAGAGCTTTGATACCTTTGTTATACATGTAAAACAGAAAATTCAAAATTGAGTGAATTATTTAAAGTCTCACCGACATCAATTTCACAATTTGCTCCTTTGTAAGATCCTGAACATGTGCATGTGTAGGTGTTGTTTCCATTCTGACAAACGCCGCCATTTTGGCATGGTGCTATGATACAGTAGTCGGGGGGAACTTCACATGTCTCACCAGTGAAACTATCATTGCAGCTGCATCTGTAGTTTCCAACTAAGTCTATGCATGGGTGACCATTACATGGATTTGGAATACACTGGTTGACAACTGAAATTATAATACTAAGTTAAACGTATTTTCTTCAGTATTTAAGGGTATAACAAATACTAGAATTTAATAGATATCGTATTGACCTCCAGGCACAATAAAAGTTGCATGGTTGTTACGTAATCAAACGTTTATAACAACCCGGGTATACAGCCGAAGGTAATATTTTGTGAAAGACAACCTTATTCTTATACATCAGGTATTAAAACAAACACTGTTTATATTAACAGCGTAAAAATGAATGTTTTTCATTTCACTTTATATTTAATATTCATATTTTATTCTATTTAGTGTTATTATGCCAGGTTGCAATAGAGCTCATAGAGCTTTTACAAATTAAAAATGTGCATGGTATACATGTTTGTGTATACCATGCACATTATTAAAATGCAAGACGCCCATGTAAATTTGAGGAAAATTATTTCTCAAACATATACGAGGATTGTTCTAAAAGTTCGTGGACTTCTGTCATATCATTTTAATTTGACGTCATATGTTATCCAAAACTGGCAGATATAATTCAATTGATTTGTATTAATTTTTTCAAATATCACGATTTATTTAAAACTTATCCAGATTCGAAAATCGGTCGCAGAGCAGGCAAAAATTTAGTAAATTACACACAATACGCTAAATAATGTCTGTAGTCATAATCTCTGAAAAATGAAGCAAAAAAAAAAACGAAAAAAAAACTCAATATTCAAATTAGGAATTGTTACCTCGACTCGAATTGCAAATTATGGCTTGATCTTTTGTTTCGTTGAAAAGAAATCAACTTGAGAAAATAGATAGTCCGTCAAAAACGATTACGTTTTATCACGTCTAAGAGCAGTGGATAACGATGCCATTTGTATTTTACTCAGGAAAAATCTGGAATAAATGTTGGAGGAATAAAATATGCCACAAGCGAGTTGTGCATATGTGGACAAATAGTACAGGCAGTATTTGAATGACAGAGACTCTGTATCAGATGAAGACAATCTGTGAAGAATCTGCTTAGCTGTAAAAATCTGAACAAAAACTTTCAAAAGTTGGAACATTAAGGAAAGACGTGCCTTTCAGAGTTGCTTAATTCGTGAAAACAGAGTTGCGTAATAAAAGAAATTAAAAAGATTTAAAACCTTAAATCATACATATAGAACAATTGTTAAAAAATAAATATCAAATATTAGAAAAAGGGTTTTATTTAGTGTGTATTGGATAAAACTGTGTGAAATGTATATGGATAGTATCTTTTTAAAAAGAAATTCTTGATACTTTCTTATAACGTTACAATGCCGTTAAGTGTGCTCCGCGGGCATAAAACATGTTGAATTTAAAATGAAATAAATTGATTTCTGCGAAATAGAATGGAATGAAATTTCACACATCAACAAAATATATATTTTAACATTTGTGCTTATTTTAAATTTTAGTGAGTAATTTAACGGATATTGACATCGTCCACGAACTTTTCAAACAACCCTTGTATCTTTTAAATATCAAAATACCTTTCTACATTTAGGTAACAATGGAAATATGTCAATTAAAAAAATGTCTTGTTTAATTTCGTTAAATCTGTTATCCATAATTTGGCTATACGTATTCTGTTCTCTGTATGCGGTTTATTAAGCTACTTTTGTCTAAAGGATAAAAAATAGGATTTCAAATGTGCATAATATGTATCTTATGAAACATCAAATGAATTGTAAAGAAAATTTTCTTTGTGTAAAGAACTATATTCGGTATATTGAATATCTTTGCTCCCACAAAAATTAAATTTTGAAAAATTCTTAAAATGCATTGTATAGTATAAATTGTATGAAAAATATAAATTAACAAAACATGTTTTAGCTTTAATGTAGGTTATTCACAATTTTTTTTTAATTTATGACGTCACAAACTCGTCAGATTTTGTTTTACTTTTCAGAAAAAGGACAAAATTTCAACAACTTTATTTATAGAATTTATAGAGCGCATGTCTGTCCAGGAACAATATTTGCATATTTAATCGATATTATTATTCTACACATTATCTCAAAATATTGAGCCTGAACACACCTGCGCTCGGTGATTTTTACTCAAAATATTGACGCAATATTAACATTTTTCTCTAGAAATAATGGAAATTTTAGATTTACGTCATTTTCCTGACGTCATTTCAAACATATGACGTCACTGCTGAAGAAAATATTCAGTGCTTTGAAGTCATCATGAATCCCCCTCGTTTTAAAATATAAATGAATTTTACTCCGTCAAAGTTTGATTTTTGGGGCAAATATCGGTTACTACCGAATAAAGTTCTTTGAATAAAGGCATGTAGAAAATACAATTTAATCTTTCTAAAACTTACTGTCACAATGGCTTTGTGTTTTGATTAGAGAATTATCGACAGTGTCCCAGTCAACATCACTAAATGTAACTAAAGTATCGTTCCTGGTGTAATTACATGCCGATGAATGTAGAAGAATTTCGTCATCGGAAGGAATATTTGATGTTAATTGATATCCCGTTATCGAAATGTCTAAAGAAATAAAATATGAAAGCAAGTTTACACAAATGTTTTTTTAATTAATTTCACTCTCTAAAGTGTGTTTCTTTTAATCAAAGTTAAAAACAGGTAAATATAACATTCATAAAGTAATATATCATATTGAAGAATAATCCATACATATGTAAATAAAAATTGTTTCCCATATTTGCATCTGCAATTTTTTCGAAAGAAATATCCAAAAGAAATGAATAAACCATAAATTCTTCAGAAAAAGTCATTTATGCCTTCCTTATGCTCAAAATAAAAATTGTTTTAACATATATATTCCAAAATCCTCTGCTTCGTTTTTTAAACCAGAATTTAAAAAAAATTAATGTAGTTGTAGTTGTATATTGGCTCCGTTTTTTTCTTGAACTTACCTGATGATGCGTCCTCAGTCAGGAATATAGCAAAGCTTAAGTCGGGTCTTATCACACTGACATTTCCAACACTGTTCAGGTTTGTTTGAGCATTGATTACTCCATTTATATAGACACTGATTGTGTCAGTTTCTGTGCTGATGATTAAAACTACATGATGCCAGTCTTGCATATCCCCGGTTATATTAAGGCTATGTTTGGATCTACAAATTTATACACGATTTTAAGAACAAATCATGTACTTTTATTGCATAGTTAAAGGGAAAGCAGGGATCTGATTTAAAAAAAACTTCATTCATTGTTGGGATATTTTGTATATTGTATTATTTTGTATATTGATATATTCATCATACTTAAGTAAGGATTTTTAACCCTGTGTTAAGATGTTGATTGCCAAATAATGTACCCCACCCGTTATGCAAATTACCCTATGTACGAAACTTTTGATGGTGCTATGGCATACTCTACCAACAAGACAGTAATTTCGTAAAGTATTACACCATGGGTACCTATTAGTCTCCATAAAACATCATTAAGTAAACTAAATCGCTTGTTACATGAAGCATCAGTTACACAGAGTAAAACTTACATGGAGAACACTGGAATTAGAAAATTTAAACTTGAATACCAAAAAGGTTACATTTATTTTAGATAAAAAAGATATGTAATAAAGAAGTTTCGAACGGATATTCAATAAGTGAATATTGCAATTCGTTGGCTGTACAATCGCACTCGCAATCTCGTGGATTTTTACAGCCAACTTGTGCCGTTTTCACCAAAATAAATTCAATAATCCTAAAACACCTACAATATCGAAGATATTTATTGTCCTTGTTCCCCTTAAAATGAATCAAGACTACAGGAACCCGCGAAAACTATTCTTACATTATCTATTAAGCTCTTTAACTTTATATCCAAACAATTCATAGATGTTAAGAAGTTTTGATATTTAATTGAGTCATACCCGTTGATATCCACCAGGACTGTTTTTCCGTACTTAATAGTCATATAAAAAGAACTAGAATTTCCATGCAATAACACCAAGCTTGAGTTGTCATTCTTAATCCAAGCAAAAAGAGCAACACTTTTGGATTCAAGAAATTGATTACTGTCAAAGAAAATGGCATCTCCCTTTTTTGCAAAAGTAATATCGATATCTGTAAAGAAAACCAAGAATGTATTATGTTCTGTTATTTACAACTTAATATGAATACATTTCGTAACAATCTTTTCAATACGACTCTCATCTAAATTCCTAATTTGTTCAGGATTGTACTGCACATTATGCCGATCTGGAAAAATGTACATTTTTAACAACTTGGATGTGTTATATGCATGCGCAGGAAGGGTGAATTTCTGCCTTCCAGTCTTAAATTTGGCACTTATATAATTATTATTTCTTCTTCTGGATAAAATATTTAAAGCTAAGGTAGGACTAGTCTTTACGCAGACTTGGATAATCTTGGATAATTATGGCAATGCTACTGATGAAATTTCCCCTTTTGATTTTTGGGACCACGTGTTCTGCATATTTTAGAAAGAGAAAGAGAAATATAAAATGTAATTCTTTAGACATATACAATGTTACAACATCAGTATTTCAATGCGTTTATGAGTTTTTAGTAATATATGCATGGATAAATAAACAGCTAAATTTGTTGTATATAAATGCATTATATGTACACATACATACAAGGTAGTACAAAAGTACAATGCCTAATGTTGTACATATAATTAAATAGTTATATTTAGCTATTACATTGTCATAAAATATACCTACCTGTACAGTTATCTATAGCGGTGCTTTTAGACAATGATGTTTTTCCATGAGGGCAAAGTTCACAAGTTTTCGACATTTTAATACTACTAAATGTGCCTCTTGGACAAATATTACACGGCATTAACCCACTGGTAGAAAACTCCCCAAAGTCACACTTGTCTAAAAAACAAATAAGCTAACTGAAATGAAATGTATTTGTGTAATACACGGTTATAACGAACACATTTACAATGAATAAGTCATTACAGCGAACTGATTTTTATTCCACCATGACTTTGAAATATATTGTGATCTTAACTTTAAAACGAAGCGACGTGTTTAACTGAAATACCTAAACATTCTGACATAGACTCAGCTCCGTCGTCCAGGGTAAATGTATTATGTGGACATTGTGTACACGTGGCTGTGTCTTCTGAATCTTTATAAGATCCCTTCGGGCAATTTCTGCATGTAGGCTGTGAGGGGTTTGAATTATCAAGATAGGTGCCGATGGAACAAGGGACTAGAAAAAAAAAGATGTATCATAAAAATTGGCTTTATAATAACATAGACACTTTGTCAATAATTCTGAAAGTCGATTAATTACAAGGTATGGTTACATATATACATATATGTAAAATGTCCAAAATGGTCCTTCTTATTGCCATGTTCTTTAAGAATTTATCATATTCATCTACAGAACTTATGTTTAAGCTGATGTCATTAATCTTAAAGAACATTAAATTTTTAGGCAAAAATAAAGATCAAAATAAAGACCATTTGTTCTTCATTGACAATCTGTACGTTGTCTGTTGGAATTTCGATGGATACTAATTGAAGGTAGAAGGATATGGAGATAACGAACAATATTGATTGTGTTCTTTTATTAGCTAAATTTGCGTTTCATTTCGATGGGTTTCGTTTCGTTTTGATTTGATTTTGTTTCGCAGTTTACTTGTATCCAACTTTTTTGGATATGGAGTTTACGTCTCCAAACTTTCTATAATTGTGCCAGGGTCCGTATTCTATTGTCTCCTTGCAGTTTCGTACAGTTAATAATCTTTTAAGGTTAACTTTTCTTAGCCGTACCTTTTTAAAACTATCTTTACATGTATTGTAAACATTGTTCTATAGGTTTTGGCATAAAAAAGTCAATTTGCATAAACAATGCTCTTGTAAGTTACATGTAGGCTTATTTAAATTATATATTGTTATTAAAGAAAATATTTACCACAACTCATTGTACTTTGTTTTATTGCTGTTCCCTCTGGGCATTCAGGCTCACTCAAACCAGAGGAAAAGGAGTTTATATCTGGATCCATCCCACTCACATTGAATGATCCATTTACTGCCAAGCCTTTGATAATGTCAAAGATGCTTTGTTGAATCATTCCCATGAGATTATAAGTGTCCACCGAAGAAATAAAATTTTGCCAGGAAGTCTTCACAGAAAAACTAACACTTATTTTAAATGTACTTCTTCTATATCGCCCGGATGGCACATTGTACCAATTATAACCTGTTTCATCTGCTGATCGTTTACGTTTTCCTGAAACTGGTCCGCAAGTTACATCTGTGTTGTTAACATTGCATTCAGTGCTGTTTGGACAGACGCCCGCCCATCCACCTATTTCTAACTGTTTCATCACATTAATGAATTTCTCTTTAATTTGGGCAAGTGTTTCCGGATCATTACAATCACCAGCAAAGTAGTAAAACTCCCCTGGAAGACGACTTGAGGACACTTGTCGAATTTCTACAGAAGTTCGAGTATGATACAATTAATTAATTGCATTCCAAATTAAGTTACAAATAATCAAATTCAGTCATTGGAAATGTTCAACATTTAATACCCTATAACAAAAGTGAAACATACAGCCAGCATATCCCTTCGTTTATCATATACAATTGGAATCATACGCATTCTGAATATTCTTGGAACATAAAAAATACTCAGAACCATTTTTTTCTTCTATATAAAACGCGATCAGCATTCTAAAGTATAGTAAAATACACTTTTAAGAACAAATCTTATTCTTGAATTTTCCCTTTGCCATTGACAGAAATCATCTCAAGTCACAAACACTCTGACTTCTATTGAGTCTATAAATACAGAAAAGATTTTTGTTTACTTTACACCTAAAGACATTGAAAAGAATTTTTAAAACTCAATCAGAAAAAGATAATACAATATACATGATCGATTTTTTTTATCTCTTCAGTTCAAAAACAGTTCTAGCCTTTGCCTAAAAATAGCCACACTGCACCAAAGAGCAGTTTTCAATTTGTCAGCTTGGCCAGGTGTTTTTAAAGGACTAATTTCAAGTAAAAGCTGGACTATATATATATATATATATATATATATATATATATATATATATATATATATATATATATATATATATATATATATATATATATATATATATATATATATATATATATATAATGCATTTCTTCCTAGAATTGAAACAACGTGAAAGTCAAACGGTTAAATAATATACCTGAGCAATTTGGAACGATATTGGATGGATGGTATTGCCCTGTGCTTTGTGAACATACAAATTGTCCGTTAAAATTCGAGCTACCATCATTTGTCCTGATTCCATACGGAATATCGAATTTTTCCTGACATTGCATTGTACACATCTGCCCAAATATCCATGCCGCACAGCTAATTGCACCGTTTCCAGGTGGTGTCAAGGGATTACATGTGTTTGCTGTAAAACAGTTTAAAGAGTCAAAGACATCATGCAAACAAGTTATTCTTTAAATAATTTGTTTCAGTTATTATATGTCCACTGTTTGGGTTATCCTTCTGTGATTATGTTTTTCTCTAGTGACTTATTCTTGTTATTGATACTTTACTACTCGTTATTGTAAATCTAGTGGCATCTGAATAGCTTTAGTCATCCTGTGCTTGGGTTATTTAGTAGATGGAAAACGTCCATGACAGTAAAGTATAATTTTATCTTTAAGATTTAACACAATGAAATGCAACATATTATAACTAGTTTCAATTATTTCATCTTGACCCACCTCACTTTAAAAATCTTGCACAAAATCTGCAGCTTTGCACAAAAAATGTAAGACATAAAGATTGTACAGTAATATCCAAAGAATTTAGAATTAATGTTGGTGGAATATATATAATATAATTGACCTCTGAAATGTTAATGAAATGGAATAATTTTTCCTTAAAAATATCATTCTATCTTTTAAATATCATTGTATCTACTCATGAGATATTAAGTCTGTTAAGTGTATTAAAAGATTTTAAAGACATTTTCAACTTTCTTAGGCTTTAATCCTCTTAAGTCAGCAGAAAACTTTTCACAAGATGAAACATACCCTTTAAGTCCGGCTTAATGGTGGCTTATAGGTCCTTAATGGTGGTTTAATGGTTGTCTTTCAGTCACCATTAAGCACCTTTAAGTAACATTTACACCACCATTAAGTTACCATTAAGCCAACTCAAAGTCCTTAATGGGTGCTTAAATGTAGCTTAATGGTAGCTTAATGGTGGCCTACAGGTCCTTAATGGTAACTTTTAGACCACCATTAAGTCACCATTAAGCTACCATTAAGCTAGACTTACAGGTGCTTAATGTCCAAACTCCATTAAGCCACCATTAAGCTACCATTAAGCCACCATTAAGCCACCATTAAGTCACATTAGGCAGTCGATAATATTGTTTATATGGGTGAAAAATTATTTTTATAGTGATTTGTTATCAATATTATAAATGTAGAGTTCGCGTATATCTTGATTTGGTAAAAATGATGAAAAAAAAAACGAAATTCAAAATCCAAAAAAAAAAAAAAAGAAAAACGCAACAGACGGGTCGCGAACCCATGACCTTAGGGTTGCAAGGCGAATGCCTTATCCATTAGGCTATCGCCGCTCTTAATAACGAACGGAAAATATTAAATATTTAACCTTTATTTTTTTCTAAAGATATTTACTAGAATTTTTTTGAACATTTCCAAAAGTCTTGAATTGATTTATTAATCAAAATATAAACAATTTTATTTGTGGATCTTAACACATTAATATATATTTCTACACTGAGTTCGGCTTTTAGATTGATGTAATGTGATTGAGTTCTTCGCTCTGTTTTTCGAAAATTTTCGAAATGTAAGCATGAAATGATTTGAAAATAAATTAATTATAGATAAAACGCAAAAGTCTATCATCGAAAAAGAAAGAGGAAAAAACAGATTCTACTATTATTTTTAATATACTGCGGATATTAACGGTTTCTGTGTCAACAATTTAGTGACAATCCTCGCGTTAGAGTTACCTGGTTAATTACGTTTACAAAAACTTTTTTTAGAATATCATAGTCAGTTTCAATTCTTTTTGTATCATAATGGGTATCAAAATAATTGACTTTTTACGATGAATCATAATTTTTAATTTGTTATATGCTTGCGTTAAATTTAAATTTTTTAAAAATAATTGATCATTAAAATCTGTCAGTGTACGTTGTGTATGGATAGGTTCCTGTTAGTTAACCGGGGACTGGCCCGTGGGGACACCTAATTAAGGTCTATTGTCTGACCAGTCGGTTTACTGTACACTGATTATCTGTTAATCTTACCCCGTTTCTCAATGTGTATACATCCTGGTCGGATGTCATGTTTATATAGTCTGATCGGCCGTTCCTCTGAAAATCGATTTTGAAATAACAATCATTGAAGACAGAGTAGATTTTGACAGATACTTACCGCTGCATTATTAAAAAAAATAACGAATTAATTAGAATTATTCATGATGTAAAAGCCATTAAAAAGTTTTTCATGGTAAAAGTCAGTCTTTGAAAACTAAACATTTGTATACCAGTAGCCCCCCCCCCCCCACCAAAAAAAAAAGGACAGAGATTTTTTTCATGAGATAATATAGTTATATTCCTGTGAATTCTGTAGCGGAATGTAATTTTAAAAACAAATTGATTTTTGGTATTGTAAATATTTCACAAGGACTTGCTCACGGTGTGAGTTGTATAAACCGAGTGCACTTTTTATGCAAATGAGGTTCAAAAAATGGGTCAACTGAGTGGAGTGCTAACCCTAACCCTAACCCCACAACCCTAACCCTAACCCTAACCCCTAACCCTAACCCCCCTAGCCCCCTAACCCTAACCCTAACCCTACCCCTAACCCTAATCCTTAGCCCTAACTCCCTAACCCTAACCCCTTAGCCCTAATCCCTTAGCCCTAACCCTAACTAGCCCTAACCCTAACCCTAATTATAGTCCTGATGACACTTTTTGTAACTTAATCTTTGACATAGCATATATTATTATTAACGCATATTAGGATTAATTAGAGGTGATTAATTAGTAGTTCTAGCCCAGAATAACTAATTTATATGGTTGTTGATATCTAACCCTAGGTTTAAATACCTAACCCTAGGTGGTGAAAATTGAAAAGTGTAAAAAGTAACTTAATCCATTTGGGCTTGTATTTGCAGGGGGTTAGAGGCTTAACTAGGGGGGCTAGGAAATAAACCTAACCCCTCAAGGGTTGGTATCTAACCGCCGCCTAACCCCCTGTAAGAAAAAAAGCTCGCTAAAAAGGAATAAAAAATTTCAAATTTTTGGGTATACCTAAATCTCAATATTGTTCAGGGTTTGAAAAAAATAAGTGGTCCACTTCTCTAAACTGCTTAAAAACCGGCGGAATTTTGTGATTTTTGGAAATGTTGTAGATAATAGCTCTATCTAGGCGTTATCTAACTTAAAATGGGTCAAAAACTCGTTTTAAAAAAATTATCCCTTACCCTAACTTTTTTCACAAAAAATTGGATTAAGTTACATTTTACACTTTTTGAGATTTTTTAGGACCTAACCCCGGGCATGTTTTTAACAGATACAGAAAAATGCTTTATAGCCCCTTAAAGTACTAATAAA